TGAGGTGAGGAATACAAAGTATATCATGACTTGTCAAACATCTCAAACACTCGCTCCTTTTAATTTACTGAAGAAGCCAGAGGTAATTAATGAGACAGCCAATGGTAAGGGGCACAGAGAGGACATTCACCCTATAACCTCAATAAAAACAAACATGGCACATCAGCAGGAGTAAGCTGTTGGGTTTATGACCAACAAATCAATGTCACATGTGGAAGGTAATAGCTGCAGTTTTTACAGGCTGATCTGACCAGCAGGACCAACTGAAATTTCTGTACTCTCTTCCATTAAATGGAAAAAAGGCCGCAGTCAGTGTTCTTGTATTTGCTTGCAGTCTCAGAAAACACATGAAATTAGATTTCAGTTGGAGGACACTGTTGGACGCAGCCTCAGAAAAAGCCTCCTGGAGGCTGAGCTGCTGCTTACAAGCCTGAGCCTCCTGCTGTTGCTTTGCTCATATGGATTTCTCGGAGTCACTTTTGTCCCATATGTGTGTGCGTGGCTTTTTGTTTGGGAATAAAAGATAATTGGTTTTGTGTCATTGCACCGATTCCAAAAGTGACCTCATTCCACTTAACAACAATGTAAAAATGCACAAAACACCCCGAAATAGGTTGGGTTTTTGTCTCGCGCTGGGTTGGGCCTGGCAAACGTGCTCTTTGCTGGGTAAATATTACTCTGCCTGCGGTTGGGTTTGTCTGCAGCAAACAACAGGCCACCAGGGAGGATGCATGGAAAGTGTGGCTGCGGCTTAAAATGGAGGAGAGGAGTATCTGTGGTGTTGTGGTTTTACGTTATAGAAAGGCTTAACAGGCCCTTGTCTTTTTTTCTGGGTTTTTTTAAATGTGACACGCATTTATTTTAAAAATCTCTTCTCAAATGCACACTGTTTATCTAAATCGTCTCTCATTTCCCTCAAACTAAAACAATGTTTACGAAAGGAACCTCTTGAAAAACCTTTTAATCCTGATATATTGAAGCTAGTCATATTGTCTTGCTGACAGCCACATCAGTCGAGTCCATTCCTTTATTTCCCTCTCTTTTGAACATCTTTATAGCCTCCTTCAAAGCGCTTCATCTGGGGCCTCAGGTAGGGTTTCAACTTCCTGATTGTCACAGTTATGGCTCATTAAAAAGTCCCCTTTTCTCTCTGCGAGCAGGAAGGAAACTGACTCTCTCTCTGATCATGTTAATGTGCACAAGTCCTGAGTACTGACGTTGTCACTTCTGCACATCTTGTCTGCGTTAGCATTAACCCACAAAGGGGTCACTTTAATGACTGTCAGATGCTGCACTGTGCCATTGATGTCCAACTTGTTAATGAACACAAGAAGTCACTGAATCAGTTGGAAAGGACGAGGTAATCTGAAAAGAATATTCAACCACATAATAATTACTGGCACTAGTCTGTCATTCTGTAAGAAATACCTTATGTAAGCACCTGGCTGCTAGTTGGTAAGTTTACTAAACTGCATGAATTTATGGTGCAGTATCTTTTGTGAAGCCAGTGTCATGGTCCTGGGGCTTGGATCCAGAGTTTTGAGTTTTTGGATTTCTTTACTACTTAGTGGGTTCTGTTGGTTTTCATTGTTCTTAGGTTTTCTGATTGAGTTATATATTTATTTATTTGCCTCTTCTCAAGTCTCTTACTGCTGGTGTTTGTTATTTGTTGAGTTCTGATATAGTACTCTGCAAAGGTCTTGAGCCACGCCTTGTTTCTTTACATTTTGCTGCCAGGAAATCAGACTTTTTTTTTTTCTTTTCTTTTTTTTTAAGCGGTCTTGAGCAATAGTTCACCAAATGTTCTCTTGTTGAAATATTTAACACTGACCTATGAGTCGTACAAGCATAAAACTGCCACCTAATTCAAGAGATTCACCAGTGTTGTGTCTACAAATAACAGTCAACGTGACAAAGAAGCAAAGTAAATTCTGCCTTTAGGCACTTTGTGATAAACAGTCTGTTGCAAAAACACATACTTTGTTTCAATTTCTTTCGGTGAATCTACAAAAAAATGGCAAATATAACACAATTTGACAGGCATGAAACAGTTTATCTGCACCGAGAAAGTGATTTTTAAAACACTATTATCTGAAAACCTGTAATATATCAGCATGGTGTCATTATAAATTTTAGGAAATTGAACAAGTAGAGGAAAAACGAAGTGTTAGGCTTTAAAAACTATCTGCAGCAGATGAACAGTATCTGAAAGTCATGTCCTTAAGAAATAGGAAAGCAAAATCAGCAAAGACCTGACACAGGACCTGAGAGATGCATTATGTGTCTTGTTACACTGATCAGGCATACCATTCTGACAACTGACAGATGAATTGAAGAACACTGATTATCTCTTTGTCATAGGACATGTTAGCAGATGGTATATATTAAGGACCGAGTGAACATTTTGTCCTTAGAATTGATGTGTTAGAAGCAGGGGAAAAGGGCAAGGATAAGGATTTGAGTGTCTGACAAGGGCCAAATCATGATAGCTAGAGAACTGGGTCAGAGCATCACCAAATCTGAGCTCTCGCAGGGTGTTCCCAATCTGTAGTGGATCAAAAGTTGTCCAAGGAAGGAACAGTCGTGAACCAGCGATACAGTCATAGGTGGTCAAGGCTCAATGATCCACAGCGGGAGCAGAGGCTAGCATGTGTGGTCTGATCCAGAAGATGAGTTACTGTAGCTCAAATAGCTGAAACAGGTCGTGCTGGTTCTGATGGAAAGGCGTCAGAATACACAAAGCCAAAGACCTGTCAGGGTGCTCATGCTGACTTCTGTTTACTGCCATATGCACTAACAATGGGCACCAAAGAGCAATGGAAGAAGATGGCCTGGTCTGATGACTCACGTTTGTTTCACATCATGTGGACGGTCAGGTGCCTCTTTTAGCCGGGGAACACCTAGCACCAGGATGTGCTATGGGAAGAAAGCCGATGGAGGCAGTGTGATGCTTTGGGGACTGTTATGCTGGGATCCTGTCATCCATGTGGATGTCACTTTGACACGTACCACCTACCTAATCATTGTTTCACACCATGGGCACCATTTCATTGGAGACTGTATTCTTTGATGGCTGTGGCCTCTTTCAGCAGGATAGCGTGCCCTGCCAAAAAGTTAAAACTTGCAGGACAAAGGATCTGTCTGAAATATCGTGGTGCCAGATGCTGGAGTTGATTCCTCGATGGGTCAGGGCTGTTTTGGCAGCAAAAGGGGGACCAACACATATTAGCCAGGTGGTGTAATTTAAGTTAGTTTACCCATGTTAGTATTTTCACATTCAGTTTCCTCTTTGCAGTTCAAGTCATGTTTCTTCCCTGTTTTATATTGATATACTTTTTCCCTTCTAGTCTTAGTTTTAATACTTCTGTCCCAATTTAGCTTCAACTTCCACTTTGTTAAAGCTATCTGTGCTAAGTTGCTTCAGTGTTTCCTTCTCAGTTCCTCCCTCTGGCTTGTTCGGAGTTTATGCCTTGTTCCGTTGTGTTTCCTAATTATGGTAAATGGAACAGTTCTTATAAAGTGTTTTTCTACTCCACTGAAACACTCATAGTGCTTTATACAACATACAACATTCACACAAGTACTTTTTTTTCTATGCTTAAGATTCACACACAGAGCAACTTAGGGTTAGTATCTTCCCCAAGGATATTTGGCATGCAGAGTGTCAGGGATCAAACCACCAACCTTCCAATTAGCAGATGACCTGCTCTACCACCCCAAAGTTCTGTGTTGTCAGATGCAGATGATTGGGTTAGGATTAGTCTCCTTTTGTTACTTCCTGTTAGACTTTGAAGTCTGGTTTTCCATTATGGTTTGCGTTAGTTCTACCTTGTGATAGTCCTTGTTTTGTTTTTTTTAAGTGTGCTCACCTGTGTTCCTCTCTCCTGTTTCCCATCTGTAATCAGTCTATGATTAAACAGCTCAGTCTTCAGCTGTGCTCTGCCATGGTGTTTATGGTAAGCACTTTGTGTCTGCTTTCATGTCTCCGAGTAACCTTTTCTTATGGGAGCTTGCTTCCTGCCTCCTTCCATTTGGGCCGTCTCACAACATAACCTATGACTAAAAATGAGAAGAAATTATATAGAAATGGTAAAACTGCAAGAGTCTAATAACCAAAGCCCTTTATAGTTTACAGTGGAAATCTGTTTTTTGCTGGTATTTGAATTGAATAATAAATGTATTATTAGTCATTTCTGCTAGTTGAGAAAAAAGTCAAGGAGCCCTTAAATGCCCAGCAGAGCTGAAGAGAACATTAAAACCTATCTGAAATGTGCTGTAGACATGAAATTAAATATTGTCAGATTGTTTACACTGAAGTTTAGATGATATTTTCTGCAATTTTCATCTGCAAACTAAAATCTGTAACTCTGGAATAATTACTGTAAATGTGTTGGATTTTCACCTTTTGAATAAGTGAATGGGTATATTAAAGTACCACACAGGTACTTATATACTATAAAACATTACATTTGTAATCTGGTCAAATGAAATTTAATTGATTGGTATACATTTCGTTTACACCAAGTATATTTTATGATTAATTATTTGAGTGAATAAACTTGAAATTTTTCAGCGGCATTTTACTCAAAATGATTGTTTCATGTTTAGGAGGGCAAATAACCCTTTGTTGTTGTTGTTGTTGTTGTTGTTTTGTTTTGGGGGTTTTTAGTGGGATAATTCAACTCATTCTCAAAGGAAGAAAGACACATACAGATCCTCTAATGGTCAGCCTGTGTGTCATAGTGACTACATCCATCCTTTATATACAGTCTATGACTAGAACAGCTGACTAATTTGTGTAGTCTGGGCAGGGAAGTGAACTGATATCATCATTAAGCACTAATACTGATCAACAGATTTCACAAAAAAAGCTTTGAGCATTCATCTGGACTGTGTCAAAAAGCATTACCTGCTAAAAAATAACTAACATTTATAAACCAAAAGCAGTAAATGTTGTTTTGTGTGGTCTAAAAAATGCTTCTGTTCTTTATTTTCCACAGGGAGCCATTTTTTTACGTGGAAACAAAGTTACAGAGCATCCAAGCAGCGGCGACGAAGGGGGAAAATTTCTTTTCGAGGTCATTCCAGGTAGGATGAGATTACAGCAATTTAATCACTGCTGTTTTTACTGAGGACAGAATGGTGAAAGCAATCTTTACTTGGCAGCAGAAGGAACAAAACCATGAGGTTAACTGTTTGCTTGCCTTCTACTGGGGATTTGTTAAGGGATCACAGTGAGGTCTGTACCTCGTCTGTCTGTTTTTACATAACATTATGGGCTTTACTTCATGATCCGTTTTTACTGTTAAGCTTTTTTAATATACAGATTTCCATTTTATTTTTTTTCTTTATTTTGGCTTGAATGCAACAAAAGAGAGCATTAAAAAAAAGACAACAACCATGGATTATTAGACTGTTAATGCTGTATGTGCCGAGGATGCCCCGTAGAACAATAACAGGAATAAATGTGACGTTTTGTATGTTTTCCTATATAACTATTTTTTTTTCTTATCTAGATGACAGTCATTTACACATATCGTTACAATTTCTGTAGCTTCAATCAGAGGCTAATTCAAACTCGTACAACATGTGAAAACGTGGTTAAGCACAGCATGAAGGAAATGTGGGATATTTTCCCAGGCTGGAATGTGAGCTTATGGAATAGATATTTAAAAGGCACGTTCACAGGGGGAAAACAGACGCAGCTGTTAAAAGATACAGTAGCAGAGTGCATCAACAGCCCCAGTTGATCTTAAAAACCCAGTAGAAAACACCGGATGTATCATACTTTATTTGTGTTAGTCTTTTCCCTGGTGTGTATCCAGTTGAGTGTCCCTCAGAGGAAACCAAAGTATAATTGCCAAGACTTTTTTTTCTCACTGAACACACACGCAAACCAAGCAGATAGTGGTACAAGTATTGGGGTAATAGGGGTCAATATGTGTGTGTTACAGGGTGTTTGAAAAAATCTCGATGGTGTTCTTGTCGTTTCATTGCTGGCTGTCTAACACTTTCAACGTCAGACGAGGATTAAGCGCTCCCTGCAGAGATCAGCGCATTTGCTACTCTTTCATTCAGTATTCACATTTCAGTTGGAGAAGTGAACTTTTGAATAATACTACTGTTTTGCAACTGTGCAACAATTTCATTTGATTCTGCGTTTCACGTTGTATTTGCTGTTTCTTGAATAATATGATGCAACAGGAGTGAAACAAAAAGGATTTCTCAATATAAAGCCACAGTGAGCATCTAAAAGTTTGCTCACAATGTAATTTGATGCTATTTGCATTCAGCGAGCACGCAGATATAAGCTGGGAGACTTGTTGAGGCACACTGAGAGTGGACTTAAGCCGGTAATTCACACAGCAGCTAGCGTGAGACTTTTCAAACTTCTGCAAAAGGCTAACTGAAACTGGGCTTGGAGGAGGGCACAGTGACTCAGTGAGACATGTAAGGGAAGTCTTACATCTTACCTCAGCACAAATTTCCTATCTGATCATCAGGCATGAGAATATGGGGCTTACACTCCCTGCATGGGAAGGGTTTTGATTGTGGAAGCCAGGCGAGAGGCAAACAAGCAGAGGTCGTCTTAAGTGTGGGTGACTTCAGCAGCATGGTGTCAAACAGATGAAGAACTGAAAGTGTGCATAAAGGGCTGGTGCAAGATTCATTTTCTTTTTTTTTCTTTTTTTTGATAATGCTACAATTATCAAAAAAATTATTATCTTTCTTTTCTTCTGGACACACAAGTTCAAGTCTCTTAAAAACAGCTTTAGCATCGGCTTCAGTTAAAAACATAAACCTGTCTTTCTAAATCCGGGGTGCATTTCAGCTGTGAAAAAATGTGAAATGAAAGTTTTGTGTATCACACTTCACTATTGCTGGTTCGACACCGGTTTTCAGCATTAGACAAATTAGCTTATTGTCACTTCTAGCCGAGAACTGCTAAAGATCAGAAACCAGTTCGATTGCTTCGACAACTTTTAAGTCCACGCGGGCCAAAGCTGCCGTATTTTATTGTTTTCGTTTTAGGCACCGTTAAGAAGAAGAACAGTTACTGGTTATGTGTTTAAACATATCATTTTCTTTTTAGAAAATATGTGGTACATTTCTTCCAGTCTTTACCTCTACGGTTATTTTTTCCAATGGGAGTACACCTTAATACATTCTTTACAACTTCTGGAAGAAGGAAAAGGATTTTTTTTAATTCCAGTGTGTATTCTCTCTACTTGTACAGCTGCCATGTAATACTAAATCATCATAAGCTACATATCGTTTACTTCTGTTGGGAAGTGAGGCTTTTATAAAGCTGTTTGTTTCATTTGTGGTGCTAAGTGATGAGAAATGCGTTTCGATATCTTTCAGGGCTCGCCGAGTTTCAGTCTTGATACGATGTTGATTGTTTCAGTACTGCTGGAATGACTTAAAGACTGCAGGGAAAAGGTTCCAGTGTTTACAGTACGTATTAAAGGTTTTACAGCCAACTACATCAGTGAAAAGGTAGCAGTGAGCTCAAGTGTATTTTCATTATGTATCTGGCAGTGATTGTACAGTACTGTACAAAAGAACGTGCTGATCGTCATTGTTGTGATAGATTAAAGTGTGAGAGGCAAGATAAACTTAAATTGTGTTCAACTGTAAATTCAGGGGTTGTTAATTTAAGTACTAACTTCATTGTGCTGTATCTCTAAAGTGTGCTGCCAGCACAAATACAAAAGTGGGAAGTGAAATGACTAAGTAATGTCACCTAGTGGTGTGCAATACTGCAAATTTTGCTATTGATCTGATACCTAGTAAATACAGGGACAGTGTTGCTGAAATCTCTGACTATGACTTTCAACTTCTGTTTTTTAAATGTGCTCACCTCTCACTCACCTCTGTTACTCATACAGCAGTATCTCCTGTTGTAGCTAACATTTCCATCAGTAGCTAAAAAGCCTGCTAGGTTTTCTGGACAGCTGTGAAATTGAGATATTTATAGCATTGTATGTAGGAATTCAACCTTTACAAAACAATGAACAACCCTTTTTCCAGGATAAGCTAAAGTAGCCACCATATAGATAAATAAGAGTCGCATAAATCTTTTTACCTAAATCTCAGCAACAAACAAGCATATTACTCAAAATGTCAGCCTCTTATTGTGAATTCTGTTCTTAATGTAATCTATATAATTAGGCTTAAGCCTCCATCGCACAGGCCTGAGACCCACACTAGGAACCTTTGGTAGCTCGGGAAAAATGTGCATTTCCCAACCTGCTGGTTAGTCGCTGGATTTTACTGGCTGTTGTTGGGTCAAATAGTTGCAAGAGGTGAACGCTTTCAAAGACGCAACTTTTACTTTGACCACAGAAATTTCCTAGCGATCAAAGCAATCACAGTTTTTCTGTTTGTTTGTTTTTATTTGTTCTTTGACACCAATTTTACCCAGTGACTCCTGAAACCTACTGAAACCACTCGCCAACCTGTTGGTCAAACACATTCTTCCCCAGTGATTGGTGGTTAGCGCTGACCAGTCGCTTGGCCTGCATGACTGGGGCTTTAGCAGTCAATTTCATAGTGACTAATACAAATTTTGTCCCTAGCTGCTGTATTTGTCAGGTAGTTGCCAACTGGTCTCCAGGTCAGTGTGACTGGGGCCTCTGATTTATACATGGAGCCTTACTTCACTGCTGTGACATCAGTGTCCCTGTCGTCTTTAAACTATTAAAGTCAGATTTGCTGTGGACCAGCACCAGACCAGAACATGCGGATTAAATTGTGACTTTACTTGCTCACAATAAGGGTCTTTCAATTAGGATGCAACCGCCTGGCAGAGGGTTTTCGGCATTCTACTACAAAACAGTTTTTCCCATCCGGCGTCATCCACTGCAGCCTCGTACTGATGGAAAACAAGAACATGGCTTGTTATGAGGAAGCCAATAAAGAAGTCTCAGAGAAGCAGAAAGAGCAAATGAAAGGGGAAAAACAACACATTTATTCCACTGGTCTAAATGCGGCCCTGCAGTTTGAACACAGCATACAGACAGAATTTGGCAGACAGACAGGAAGTGATGAGAGGGGTGTATTCAAAATGAGGTGAAAGTCAGAGCTCTACAGAGATGCTTGTTGTCTGTAAGCGTGGTGATGAGGTTTAAATTTGAGCAGTGTGACAACAAGGGGCTTGAACAGAAGCATCCCGCATCAATACAGGGAGGGGAGGCTCTCTGTATTTTTAGCTTTTCTGGAAAGTTTTACTTAGTTACTCTGTCTCGGAGGAACTGGGAAAAAAGTTGCAAAACAGTTCAGGAAAAAAAAATCTCTGACTTTTATTCACCTGTGCTGAGCACTCTGTGATGTTTTTCAGCTCTTAGCTTTCCCTCCACATCTGGCTGATGTGTGTGTGTGTGCTAAACTTGAAGAGGTGAGAAAGAAAGGAGAAGGGGAGGGGGCTTACGAGGTGAGTGCACCAAATTGAAAACAATATTTAGACTGTCTTCATTTTCAGCTGTTTGACAGGGAAACGCAGGTACAGACACAGCGGACCTTTTGTTTTCCAAACTTTAAACACCAGCCACGGCGCTGACACGTCACAACATGTGCAAACTCTCACGGGCCCAAGCTAGGGAGAAGAAGAGTAACAACAAAGTGAATGCGCTGGACACTTTTAAACTGTATGAATAATGTTGTGACAGATGTGTGCCTGTGGATCCTCCTCCCAACTGGAGCATCTTGGAGGTGCTATAGCTCTCATAGACAGAAAGTGTTGTCTAGATATGTAGGCCATACATCGGAAACGCATATCAGAACGTCCCGGTGACAAGGATCGCTCTGCAGTTCTATTTCCCGCAGTGCTCTTAAATCCTCTCAAGAATGTCAGATATCATCATCATAATATTTCTGCATGGCATGACAGAGCTCAGAACAATGCAGTGAGCAAGCAGAGCAGCAAATTACGACTATCTTAACAAAAAAGGCATCCGCTGCTCGTTCATTCTACACATCTAAGCTGCTGCTAAATGTCACTTCCCTGTCACCCAACTGTGATTAATTATCTGAGCAGGAAAGACTGCCTGCTGTGGTTTTGATGGAGAAAACGCATGCACGTCTTT